TGTGGAAAGGGTAGGTTATTTTTAACAGTTCGTCCATATATACGTAATGTACAGGTATCAATGAATATATAGTGGCAAGTGGGTAGAGAGCTAAATTGATAGAGGAATAGATAAGGATAGAGAGAAATTATTTTGCATGTGGAAAGGTTAGGTTAATTTTATCAGTTCGTCCATATATACGTAATGTACAGGTATCAATGAATATATAGTGGCAAGTGGGGAGAGAGCTAAATTGATAGAGGAATAGATAAGGATAGAGATAAATTATTGTGCATGTGGAAAGGGTAGGTTATTTACATCCTATATTTACATCTTGTTAATGATTTTGTTCAGTTGCTTTGAACCTATTGATGGAAAATGTTATAAACGAAACCAGGTGAGAAACAAAAGTGATTCCTACGATAGAGAAGAGGGAGAGAGAGAGGGGGAGGGAGGGAGAGGGAGGGAGGGAGGGAGAGAGAGAGAGAGAGAGAGAGAGAGAGAGAGAGAGAGAGAGAGAGAGAGAGAGAGAGAGGAGAGAGAGAGAGAGAAGAGAGAGAGAGAGAAAGAGAGACAGAAGATAGACACAAGAGAGACAGAGGCAGAGATAGAGAGAGAGAAAAAAGAAAGAAACAGAAAGAAAGGAGAAATAGGAATAGACCCAATATCTAAAAGAACCAAAAACAAAGATTAAAAAAAAAAAAAAAAAAAAAACGGAAAAAAGTCGGAAAAAGGAACCGCAGCAAACCCCGAAACGTCAGACACCCAGACCCACCGGATTCGACGGATGAAGAATCAGCTGGATGATGTCAGAGGTGTCAGCCCGGTGGTCCATAGAGGCTGTTCCATGGGCGGAGTTGATGTACAGCAGCGACGGGTAGTTGTTCTGGCTCAGGTACACGACATGGCGCCCGGCGGGTTCTGCTGCGGCGCCCACGGCTGAGCCCAACAACGCCCACGCTAGCAACGGTGTGATCAGTCTGGTAGGGAGAATGGGCGTGTGGTTAGGTTAGGTCTTTTTGGTTTTGTTTGTGGGAGATGGGTGAATTATGGTTATTGATTGTCTATATGAACACACGCTTATGTATACGTACGTGGAAGCACGAACACATACACACACGCACGCACACGCACACACTTACACATAATAATAAAAAAAATGATAATAATAATAATTATAATAATAATAATAATAATAATAATAATAATAATAATAATAATAATAATAATAATAATAATACCATTATTATCATCATCATCAACATTAAGAGCACCATTATCATCGTTGTAAAGGTAAGCCTACATTTCTAAGTTTTCCATCACCATTTTTGTTTTCAGCATAACCACGGTTCTCTCTCTCTCTCTCTCTCTCTCTCTCTCTCTCTCTCTCTCTCTCTCTCTCTCTCTCTCTCTCTCTCTCTCTATCTATCTATCTATCTATATGTGTGTGTGTGTGTGTGTGTGTGTGTGTGTGTGTGTGTGTGTGTGTGTGTGTGTTGCGTGTGTGCGTGTGTGTGTGTGTGTGTGTGTGTGTGTGTGTGTGTGTGTGTGTGTGTGTGTGTGTGTGTGATGTAAAACCCCTACATCTAACAACAGGAAATGCATCCGGTATCTAAATAAACACGAACATGGGTACATGTGCGTGCGTGTGTGTGTGTGTGTGTGTGCGTGTGTGTGTGTGTGTGTGTGTGTGTGTGTGTGTGTGTGTGTGTGTGTGTAAGTGTGCGCGCAAGTGTGTGTAGCCTTCATGATATCATAAATAACAATAACATTCAATTCTTAAAGCATTTCCGCAAAAAATAGCGTTGCCAAGAATCATCGTATGTGATTTTTTTAGTCTCCCCTGAAAACGATTTTCTGTCATCCCGCCTTGTCGTTGTTCGGGACTTCATGCATAAACTATTTTGTTTACAGATAAATATAAAACGTGCAGTCTATTTTATTGATAAATACTGTCCGCACGTACAAACATCAAAACTAAATATTTTATTATATTATCCAGGATGTACGTGTACAGTGTAACCGGCTAATGTTGTATTGAAAGAAGAACATTGAGAAAAAAATACCCGGAGTTGGAGCCGTTCCAAGCACACTGTAACCACACGTCACAGCATTAGCACTAATTCCTGTAATTCTTCTTTATCACGATTTATTTACCCCGCCATGACGCGCAGAAAAGAATATACTACGACCTTCGAAACGGACGGGTTATCTTCACCACAAATCTCTTCTCTTGTCCTCTGTGGTAAAAGACAGCCTCCGAAATATTGAGTTTTTTTTTCTCTCGTTCACCAAAGGAATCTTCTCCTGATAACACACTACCTGGCATCGTCGAGTCCATCCTTGCCTTGACCTTGTGACCTTGTGATACCTTCATTCATGGGAAAAAACACAGTGTGTTCTGCCTTGGTTCAAAAAGCATACTTTCTGTCCGTCTGTCTCCCTTTATCTGTCTTTCTCTGTCTCTCTCTCTTTCTTTTTCTCTGTCTGTCTGTCTGCCTCTCTCTCTCTCTCTCTCTCTCTCTCTCTCTCTCTCTCTCTCTCTCTCTCTCTCTCTCTCTCTCTCTCTCTCTCTCTCTCTCTCTCTCTCTCTCTCGTCATTGGATGGACGAAGGAGCTTGAAATAATCGATTTTGATGAAACGAAATAGTTTTGGCATGACTGGCTGCGTTCCGGGTGACGCATGTTTGTGTTTGTTTGTTTTTCTTGCGGTTTTAGTTTCTTGTTTTTTTTTTTTTTTCTTTCGTTCCCCAGTTTCATAAGACATCTTTTTTATTTTTTTTCTTTCTCTTTCGTTCTCCAGTTTCATAAGACATCGATCATAGTCTTTACAACTACCCTTTTGTCACAATAGATACAAATTATTACTACAAGCTCAATGTCATAACTATTGAAGTTATTTGCATACCATTAACATATTCATGGTCGTTGCGAACAAAAAGCGTTATTTGCACTATTGCTAATGACGAAATGACGTCACGACAATAGTTGAAGGATGATGTCATTGGGAGTGACGTCACGGACTACCTGGCGCTCCCACTTCGAAAATTTAGGAATGCAAAGATTTACACGAACACAAGAACACGATTTATGCTTTGTGTATTCTCTTACGTCGTGTATACCAACACGAGCCGAATCGCTAAATCAATATCAAAACGATAAGAAGAAAAACAAAGATAATGTTAAGGGATAAGAGTACAAACAGAATTGCAGAAAGGAACCATCAGTAATGCCTAACGAATAATTGTAATATATATATAAAAAATAAGAAACACGTAAGAACTAGTGATAAAATTCTCAAACAATGACTATACGAGAGGCTTGTAAAACAACTTTCAGCAACTTAAAACAACATAAAAAATAATTTACGCTCGTTTCCCTCTCTTGTGTTCACATTAACACGCAATCACGAAGGTTAAACACAGAAATACCAGAATCTAATCGAAGAATTATTACGAATATATAACCTGTTATTATTTCTGTTGAATTTCACTCACAAATAACGAAAATAACAAATATTATCATTTTCCCTAATCGATGAAAACATTTAACCTCAGTAATTAAGAACCCCTTTCTTTTAAACCTAGTTTTCCTTTATTTTTTTAAGTATCTACTCTTCCTTATATTTTCTCTGTGTGACGCTAACTTCGGCCACATCGCGTATACCATTATCTTTCCGTTGCCTAAGTGTAAGGGCTAAAATTGGTAGTTCCGGGATGAAACTACAACGCATTACACTTCTAACCTCAGCGACCTTTCCAAATACCATACGCAAGGCATATATTTTTTTTCTCTCTGTCTCTGTCTCTGTCTGTCTGTCTGTTTCTCTCTTTCTCTCTCTCTCTATCTATCTATCTATCTATCTATCTATCTATTCTCTCTCTCTCTCTCTCTCTCTCTCTCTCTCTCTCTCTATCTATCTATCTATCTATCTATCTATATATCTATCTATCTATCTATCTATCTATCTATCTATCTTCTATCTCTCTATCTCTATCTCTCTATCTCTCTCTCTCTCTCTCTCTCTCTCTCTCTCTCTCTCTCTCTCTCTCTCTCTCTCTCTCTCTCTCTCTCATGGGTAATTTCTTCTGTTTTTATCGTATTCTGTTTTCATTTATTCCTTCGTTTCTATTCGTACTATCACGGTCAGTTATTATTATTTTTTTTTAATCCTCCATTCTTTACATTTATTCTCCCTCTCTATCCCCCCCACCCCTTTCTCCTTTCCTATCCACACCTTCCTCTTCATAATCCTCAACATAAACCATTAACAAACAAAGATAAAACACTAAAGAAGAGAGAGAAACAAGAAAAGAGAAGAGAAGAGAAGAGGGAGGAAGTAAACAAAAGAATAATGACAGAGTGAGATTCGCCGCTCAAGGTCAGCCGCGCCAGAACGTAAATGACGATAAAATACGAAACAAAGAAAGACGATTGGAAAACAAACAATGAACGGGAAGGAAAGAAGACGATGATAAACGTAAGAGAATTGAGAATGTATGGGATCGAAATTATTTGTAGGAAATAACAATATATTTATTACTACTAGGATTTCTCGTGATAATATTTACGGTGATAATAACACGGATAATGATAATGATGATGATGATGATGTTAATAATGATGATAACAAAAGAATAATGGTAATAGTAGTAGTAATAGTAATAGTAGTAATGATCTTTAAAAGGATTAAGAATAAGAATGATAATGATAAGAATGATCATGATAATGTTATTAATAATAACAATAACGATAAAAATAATGATAACGGTAATAATGATAAAAGGGGTAATGATAATAATTGTATAGTAATAATAATAACAATATTTTTATTATTATCATTATTGTTGTAATTACTTTTATTACTTTTATCACCAATATTATTGTCATTGGAATTATTAATATTATCATTATTATTATTATTATTGTTGTTAACATTATTACTTTCATTATCATTATCATTATTATCCTCATCCTAATCCTCATCACTATCATTATTATCCTCATCATAATCCTCATCATTATTATTATTATCCTTATCCTAATCCTCATCATCATTGTTTTATTACCCTCATTTTAATCCTCATAATTATTATCAATAATACCATCAACATTATCATCATAATTATTATGATGACTAATAGTAGGAGGAGCATCATTACCATTATTTAATTACGTCTTGTACTACTTCAGTGGACCTGATAATGCTGAGGAGGAGGGAGAGGGAGAGAGAGAGGGGAGAGGAGGGGAGGTGGAGAGGGAGAGGGAGAAGGGGAGGAGGGAGAGGGAGAGAGAAGAGGGAGAGGGAGGAGAGAGGAGGAGGGAGTGAGGAGGGGAGAGGGAGAGGAGAGAGAGGGAGAGGAGGTGGGGAGAGAGGGAGGGGAGGGTGAGAGGAGGAAAGGGCAGGAGGCAGGGGGGGGAGGAGAGGGAGAGGGGAGGGGAAGCTGTATGTAGTAAAGAGAGGCGGGGAGAGGCAGGATGGAGAGGAAGGCAGGAGGGTGCGGGGGAAGGGAGAGGTAGAGGGGCGAGGCGGGAACGGGGAGGCGGGAGGAGAGCTTATGAAGAAGCGCGGAATTAGGGGAGGAGGAGAGAAGAGATCTGGTCTGAAGGGGGGATCGCTTTATGGGAGAAACATGTGAGAGGGCGTTGTGAGGACAGCGAGATGAGGAATAAAGCAGAAGAAGGGAGAGGAGGGCGGACAAGGAGGGTGTGGTAGGGGAGGGGGAGGGGGAGATAGGCGAGAGGGATAGGTTAAGTTCGTGTATACATCTCTGCTATAGCGTGATATTTGAGGTCAAGTCTGTTGGGAGGAGGGGTCGAGGCGGAAGAGGGAGGGGGAGGGGGAAGGGTAGTGTAGAGGGAAGTAGCGCACAAATATGACGGTTTCATGTATGGATTCGAAACTAAGATCCGGAGGGGGAGGAGGAGGAAAGCATAAAAAACCAAAAAAGGACAGAACGGTGATGCGGAGGAGGGAGAA